ATCTTTCAGTGTACAGAAAACAAAATATTGAAAAAATTATAAATCAAATTAATAACTGACAATTTACACAATATTTTCACATATTAAGGGTGTTATCCATCATGTAAACATTTAAAAAAAAAAAATGACCAAATTTTCATTAAGCACACCATGCTTTTAAGAGAGAATCATGCTCTAAGTTTTATCAAAGTATGGTTAATTGAAAGACTACCTGATCGTAACTTTATCTCTAATACATCCTGCATGGTTTTAAGCAATTGCAAAAAAAATATCTTATCACTTCTTAATTAGGGACGGAATGTTTATATATTTTTTTCATTGAGTTTTTTCTTACCCTAGTTATCTTCTTTTACAATTATGCTTTTTTTTCTAAATACATGTAGTATTTTATAAACAGAGCTCTACCTCACTCAGTAGTATGTATATCCTTTGTCTAGCATATCTCTCCATGTAAACTTTTTCTCTTTTCCTCAAAACTTGACCTGTCCATTTGGACGTACTGGTACTTCCTAATTACTCTGTTAATGTCAAAAACAAAGCTGGCTACCTGTCTGTCTCTCAGTCTTTTCCCATCTTCTCATTATTTCATCCACCTCCCCTCCCCTGAAATACCCTGTTACCTTCCCCTCCCCATCATCACCTTTTCCTCCCTACCAGCACCTCCTTCTCCTCCTCCCCATCATCTCCCATTCTCCTAAAATATCCCCCACTGCCCTACCCCCTTCATATACCACCACCTCTGTCCCCACCCGAAATGTCACTATCCTCCACATTCTCTTCCTCATACTTTCTTCCACTCCCCACCCCTGACACCCTATCCCTCCCCCAAGCTGTCACTATCCTCCATATTTCCTTCCTCATACTTCCTTCCACTCCCCCCTAAACTGTCACTATCCTCCACATTCTCTTCCTCTTTACTTTCTTCCACTCCCCACTCCTGCCACCCTCTCCCTCCCCCCTAAACTATCACTATTCTCCTCATTCCCTTCCTCATACTTTCTTCCACTCCCCCCTAAACTGTCACTATCCTCCACATTCCCTTCCTCATACTTTCTTCCACTCCCCACTCCTGCCACCCTCTCCCTCCCCCCTAAGCTGTCACTATCCTCCACATTCCCTTCCTCATACTTTCTTCCACTCCCCCTAAACTGTCACTATCCTCCACATTCTCTTCCTCATACTTTCTTCCACTCCCCACCCCTGCCACCCTCTCCCTCCCCCCTAAACTGTCACTATCCTCCACATTCTCTTCCTCATACTTTCTTCCACTCCCCACCCCTGACACCCTATCCCTCCCCCAAGCTGTCACTATCCTCCATATTTCCTTCCTCATACTTCCTTCCACTCCCCCCTAAACTGTCACTATCCTCCACATTCTCTTCCTCTTTACTTTCTTCCACTCCCCACTCCTGCCACCCTCTCCCTCCCCCCTAAACTATCACTATTCTCCTCATTCCCTTCCTCATACTTTCTTCCACTCCCCCCTAAACTGTCACTATCCTCCACATTCCCTTCCTCATACTTTCTTCCACTCCCCACTCCTGCCACCCTCTCCCTCCCCCCTAAGCTGTCACTATCCTCCACATTCCCTTCCTCATACTTTCTTCCACTCCCCCTAAACTGTCACTATCCTCCACATTCTCTTCCTCATACTTTCTTCCACTCCCCACCCCTGCCACCCTCTCCCTCCCCCCTAAACTGTCACTATCCTCCACATTCTCTTCCTCATACTTTCTTCCACTCCCCACCCCTGACACCCTATCCCTCCCCCAAGCTGTCACTATCCTCCATATTTCCTTCCTCATACTTCCTTCCACTCCCCCCTAAACTGTCACTATCCTCCACATTCTCTTCCTCTTTACTTTCTTCCACTCCCCACTCCTGCCACCCTCTCCCTCCCCCCTAAACTATCACTATTCTCCTCATTCCCTTCCTCATACTTTCTTCCACTCCCCCCTAAACTGTCACTATCCTCCACATTCCCTTCCTCATACTTTCTTCCACTCCCCACTCCTGCCACCCTCTCCCTCCCCCCTAAGCTGTCACTATCCTCCACATTCCCTTCCTCATACTTTCTTCCACTCCCCCTAAACTGTCACTATCCTCCACATTCTCTTCCTCATACTTTCTTCCACTCCCCACCCCTGCCACCCTCTCCCTCCCCCCTAAACTGTCACTATCCTCCACATTCTCTTCCTCATACTTTCTTCCACTCCCCACCCCTGACACCCTATCCCTCCCCCAAGCTGTCACTATCCTCCATATTTCCTTCCTCATACTTCCTTCCACTCCCCCCTAAACTGTCACTATCCTCCACATTCTCTTCCTCTTTACTTTCTTCCACTCCCCACTCCTGCCACCCTCTCCCTCCCCCCTAAACTATCACTATTCTCCTCATTCCCTTCCTCATACTTTCTTCCACTCCCCCCTAAACTGTCACTATCCTCCACATTCCCTTCCTCATACTTTCTTCCACTCCCCACTCCTGCCACCCTCTCCCTCCCCCCTAAGCTGTCACTATCCTCCACATTCCCTTCCTCATACTTTCTTCCACTCCCCCTAAACTGTCACTATCCTCCACATTCTCTTCCTCATACTTTCTTCCACTCCCCACCCCTGCCACCCTCTCCCTCCCCCCTAAACTGTCACTATCCTCCACATTCTCTTCCTCATACTTTCTTCCACTCCCCACCCCTGACACCCTATCCCTCCCCCAAGCTGTCACTATCCTCCATATTTCCTTCCTCATACTTCCTTCCACTCCCCCCTAAACTGTCACTATCCTCCACATTCTCTTCCTCTTTACTTTCTTCCACTCCCCACTCCTGCCACCCTCTCCCTCCCCCCTAAACTATCACTATTCTCCTCATTCCCTTCCTCATACTTTCTTCCACTCCCCCCTAAACTGTCACTATCCTCCACATTCCCTTCCTCATACTTTCTTCCACTCCCCACTCCTGCCACCCTCTCCCTCCCCCCTAAGCTGTCACTATCCTCCACATTCCCTTCCTCATACTTTCTTCCACTCCCCCTAAACTGTCACTATCCTCCACATTCTCTTCCTCATACTTTCTTCCACTCCCCACCCCTGCCACCCTCTCCCTCCCCCCTAAACTGTCACTATCCTCCACATTCTCTTCCTCATACTTTCTTCCACTCCCCACCCCTGACACCCTATCCCTCCCCCAAGCTGTCACTATCCTCCATATTTCCTTCCTCATACTTCCTTCCACTCCCCCCTAAACTGTCACTATCCTCCACATTCTCTTCCTCTTTACTTTCTTCCACTCCCCACTCCTGCCACCCTCTCCCTCCCCCCTAAANACATGGTACATACTGACATGTGCCTGTGTGTACTACCGCATGTCGACCGTCAGTCCTACTGTATTACCACTGACTAATGATAACAGTTCTATGATTGTGTATAATTAACATGGCCTTCATGCCACCATCAGTCTACACTACATTTACAAGTACAGCTAGAGTGTTTTACCACTCAATACAAAACTCCTGTCCGAGCAGGAATGTTTCTGCCCCTGGACAAATAAAGGATATTTTGTCAACACTGACCACATGGATGCTTCCTTGTAGTCGCGTGCCAAGGGACCTCTTGTTGTAATGGCCATATAGATCTACAACACTTTATCTAGTGGCAGAAAAATAATAGGTCATTGTGCAATATTTATGAATATAGGACGCTGCCTCTAGATACATATCACTCGAATTGAAGGTCAGATGGCATTCATATCAGCCATGAATGCCATGGCTGACTGGTGATGTCATCATTACTATGACATCATAATTATAATGTTAAATACTACTGCTTTTGAAATTTTGATGAATAAATTTATTTTTTTGTGGGGTTTTTGAAAAGAATTATGTAAATACATGTACATTGGACAGCTTTGAGGTGGCCTTCATGTTGACTATGAATGACAATTCCAACATGAAGCATGCTATTTGTATTTTAAATTGACTATCCGAAAGGTTTAAATTTGACTTTTGTAAGTAATAAAGTACAAATGTTAATTTTTCTTGTAACATTACAGTACCTTAAGGCATTTGTTACAAGAATACATCAGAAGGGTTTTACATGTTATATTTCACACTTTATTTAATTTTTCTTTATTTGAAAGTGCTTTAGTTGAAATTTTGCAATTCAATCCTCACACTCAGTTAATTTTTAAAGTTCTGGTGAGAAGGTGTTTACAACAAAGAGGATTTAATGGCAAAGGTTCTGGACAAAAAGTGAAAACTTAGTGAAATGTCATTTTTTTTGCATAAATGTGGAATTTGAAACCCAGCTGTATCAGATTAGGGAGTAGCATTCACAAGGCTTACTACATGTATTTAAATGACACTGTAAAGAAAGATGTAATAAAAGTATAATAGTTTGTTTATCATAATTTTGAAGAAAATTCTGAAAATGGTTTAAAAAATTAAGTGATGGAATGTTATTTAAGATGAAAAAATCAAAAATTGAAGGAGGTTATAAATAGATATTGTAAACACGATAAAATGTAAATTCTGTACAAAACAATTCCACAGTGTGGACTTTGTACCCCACCTGTACAGAATTTGGCACAGGTTTTAGTAATTAAACTGATGGTAGGGTGTCCCTCTCTTGTTTCAGTTTGTGTTGTTATTTAAGTGAGGGAGGTTAACACAGTAATTGACAATAAATGGCGATCACTTAGTGGCGTAGATCTCAGGCTGTTTTGGCAACAGTTAAAACACGGCCCTAGATAACTGAGTAAACTAAATTTTTAAAAGACGCCCAGAAATATTTTGGAAACATTTGATGATTCAAGCTTATTACATTAAATTGTAACTAGTTTTATAAACCAAGATACTTGATGATGCAATTTAAAAAAAAATGTTTTCTATCTTGTAGTTGACCTTTGTATAAATGCTTCATACTTTTTTAATATATATACTCTAGTTGTTCCCAGTGTTTAGTATGATGACCCATCTTATAAAACAACAAAGGGTCTAAAATCATGTCTATTGTTACTATTGAAAAATACACTTACAAAAATAGTGACAATGTTACCATTGAAGAAGACACTAACAAAAATAGGGACAATGTTTCTATTGAAGAAGACACTAACAAAAATAGTGACAATATTCCCATTGAAGAAGATACTAACAAAAACAGTGACAATGTTACCATTGAAGAAGACACTACCAAAAACAGTGACAATGTTACCATTGAAGAAGACACTAAAAAAAATAGTGACAATGTTTCTATTGAAGAAGACACTAACAAAAATAGTGACACTGTTACCATTGAAGAAGACACTAACAAAAACAGTGACAATGTTACCATTGAAGAAGACACTAACAAAAACAGTGACAACGTTACCATTGAAGAAGACACTAACAAAAACAGTGACAATGTTACCATTGAAGAAGACACTACCAAAAACAGTGACAATGTTACCATTGAAGAAGACACTACCAAAAACAGTGACAATGTTACCATTGAAGAAGACACTACCAAAAACAGTGACAATGTTACCATTGAAGAAGACACTAAAAAAAATAGTGACAATGTTTCTATTGAAGAAGACACTAACAAAAATAGTGGCAATATTACCATTGAAGAAGACGCTTACAAAAATAGTGACAATGTTACCAATGAAGAAGACACTAACAAAAACAGTGACAATGTTACCATTGAAGAAGACACTAAAAAAAATAGTGACAATGTTTCTATTGAAGAAGACACTAACAAAAATAGTGACAATATTACCATTGAAGAAGACACTAACAAAAACAGTGACAACGTTACCATTGAAGAAGACACTAACAAAAATAGTGACAATATTACCATTGAAGAAGATACTAACAAAAACAGTGACAATGTTACCATTGAAGAAGACACTAAAAAAAATAGTGACAATGTTTCTATTGAAGAAGACACTAACAAAAATAGTGGCAATATTACCATTGAAGAAGACGCTTACAAAAATAGTGACAATGTTACTATTGAAGAAGATACTAACAAAAATAGTGACAATGTTACCATGGAAGAAGACACTAACAAAAATAGTGACAATGTTCCCCTTGACGAAGACACTAACAAAAATAGTGACAATATTACCATTGAAGAAGACACTAACAAAAATAGTGGCAATATTACCATTGAAGAAGACGCTTACAAAAATAGTGACAATGTTACCATTGAAGAAGAAACTAACAAAAATAGTGACAATGTTACCATTGAAGAGGACACTAACAAAAACAGTGACAATGTTACCATTGAAGAAGACACTAAAAAAAATAGTGACAATGTTTCTATTGAAGAAGACACTAACAAAAATAGTGACACTGTTACCATTGAAGAAGACACTAACAAAAACAGTGACAACGTTACCATTGAAGAAGACACTAACAAAAACAGTGACAACGTTACCATTGAAGAAGACACTAACAAAAATAGGGACAATGTTTCTATTGAAGAAGACACTAACAAAAATAGTGACAATGCTACCATTGAAGACACTAACAAAAATAGTGACAATGTTACCATTGAAGAAGACACTAACAGAAAATAGTCGTAACATTATTTTTGAGGAAGGCTGACACTTACAGAAAGTAGTCATAATGCTACTATTGAGGAAAACACTAACAGAACATAGTAATAGTGTTACTTTTGAGGAAGACAAAAAAACTGATATAATAAAAAAAATGATGAAAAAAGGGATTTTATTTCCATGATTTAGCTTAAATTATGCCGTACTGCAGTGTCCGTCGTCCGTCCGTCAACTTTTTCTTTTGAACGACTTCTTCTGAAGAACTGGAGGACCTAGGGTCATGATATTTGGCCAGTAGGTACAACCTGCGGTGCTATAATGTTTCCTTATTAAAATGACCTTGACCTACTTTCAAGGTCACAGGGGTCAAATATGTTAAAAACTTTCAAACAACAATATCCTTAGAACCATTCAGGCTAGAGTCATGATGCTTGGGTATGTTATGTAGGCAAGCAGTGTGAATCTTTTCTTAATAGCAGTAATGAGGTCAAAGGTCAACTTAAAGTGCTAGTCGGGGGTCAAATGTCAATATGGGTTAAAAGCTTCAACAATCTTGTTCTCAAGTTCCATAAGGCTCAGGGTCGTGATATTTGGTCAGTAGGTATCTGGGATGTAGTGCTATAAAAGTTTTTTAATTAAAATAACCTTGACTAGCTTTCAAGGTCACAAGGGTCAAATATGTTAAAAACTTCAAACAATAGTATCCTTAGAACCATTTGGACTACAGTCATGATACTTGAGTATATTATGTACACCAGCTTTTTTAATCTTTTTTCTTAATTACAGTTGTGAGGTCCATGGTCAACTTTAAGTGCTAGTCGGGGGTCAAACATCAACATGGGTTAAAAGCTTTAACAATCTTGTTCTCAAGTTCCATAAGGCCCAGGGTCATAATATTTGGCCAGTAGGTACCTGGAATGGAGTGCTATAAACTTTCCTCATTAGAATTACCTTGACCTAGTTTCAAGGTCACAGGGGTCAAATATGTTAAAAGCTTCAAACAACGTATCTTAAAAAGCATTTGGTCTAGTCATGATACTTGGGGTGTATGTTATGTAGACCAGCTGTGAATTGTTTTCTTTATTATAGTAATGAGGTCAAATGTCAACTTTGAGTGCTAGCCAGAATCAAAGGTCAACGTGGTTTAAAAGCTTAAGAATTAAAATTTGAGAAATTTCAAGCAACAATATCTTAAAAAGCATTTAAGAGATGTTAAAATGTCTTGTGTTCTAGTTACCAAATTAGGTCTGATGTTACCTATATGTCAGTTTCATGTAACAAAAGAAACAGGTGAGCGATATAGGCCCTCTGGGCCTCTTGTATTATTATTACCTGCTGATAAAGTTAATTAACTTTCTAATGTTTGCAAAAAAAATTTATGCAGGAGTGCTTCAGGCTGTGTCGCTAGTTTTAGTCCTATATAAAACCAGGTCAAGACACTCATGATATTCCACTTGCTGTTTAACCTAAATCATCAGGGATTAGAGTTACGCCTCTTGATGAGAGATGCACTGACGTTTCGTAATTGTTTACATAACAAACCAGCCTAGATTCTGAAGATGCAGATTCCGTTGCATGTATACCGCTGAGGTAAAATTATGGAAGTATTTCGCTGCAGTGTTTGTTATGGTAGGAAACTTGAAACACCTGTTTTTATTATAAAAACTTATAACGTATATACGAAGATTTAGTTGCAGTATTTATATGTGTTAGACATAAATTTTCTGGAAATTATACAGATGAATAAATATTCATAGGTGGGTACTGTATGGAATATATATAAGCTGTTGACAGGTTCAAAGTAGACACAAGGCATAGAAGACCGTAGCTAGATGTGTTTCATCTCAAACTTTCTCCATACTGGATGTATTACATTTCTAGTCACGGCCCTCAGTGGCCCCATCATAGATTGCACATAAATCAAATGCCATTTAAACATTAAGAAATTGCATTCATAACTTCATTTTTTTTTTGTAGATGGACTCATTTTGTGCTTTTCATGAATAAATGACAGTCAGTTGTTATTGAAACATCCTCGAAATTCAGCTGAAAAGTATATAACTGATGAGAAAAGTATATAACTGATGAGAAAAGTGTATAACTGATGACCAAGGATTCCACATTACATCAGTTGTGTATTACACAGGAATACATACATATCTGTTCCTGTGTTCTTTTAAGTGCTTTCAATTTTTCACCTGGATTACAACCTCCATTTTCCGCAGAGACGGTAAGTAACAATATATTTCAAACTTAACGTTTTTTATACACATATAACAATTTAAACTTTAAAATTTTAAAGGAAATTCAGTTTTCCTGTTACATACTTCTATTTCATTCCATGTGTTCAGTTGTGTCTCTGAAGTCCCATTCACCCTTAAAGTCATATTTCAACCTTACCAAATCAAAGACTGGGCAAGTCCAGTTTAAAACGTAGGGGTGAACAAGTTAAGTTTAAGTCAAGGTGGAGCCCAGGGGTACCTGCTTGGTCCACATCTGTTCTTTAGACTATGATAACAGATTGTTATTTTCTAACTCAAATCATCAGTATCGTACCCAGAGACAGGTATTAATGATATTTGTAATAATGGATACATCAGGACTATAGAGTTAGCCCCCTTATCTACAAATCTACACATGTCGCCCTTGGAGCTTTACACAGCTGTCGGTGCTAGGGGCAGTAATAACCTCTTCATTATGGCTATTATAAAATTTGTTTCCATGTAATTAATCAAATGGTTTTATAAGAATAGCAACATAGAAACTGAGGTTTGGAGAGTTGAAGGTCTATGATAAAATGTATATATGTAAATATATATACGGCCAAATAAGTTGGAATACTGTAATTCTAAGTTTCGATACTAGAAAAACTGAAGAACTCTCTCTAAAGTTAAGATACCTTCATTTAAATGGTAGGATTTTTTTTTAACATTTCACATAAATATGTATATTTGGGTACCTAGCCATCCTTGAATTATGTCATGCAAATGTTGCTAGATATATTACATGCTTGTATATGGAAGGGTTGTTATTAGGTAGCAGGTGTGTATTAGGATGTCTACAGTAAGAGATCTCAGTGCTGCAGTCCTTACATGGAGTGACATTGTATAATACATGAATGGTTTCATATACACGTACAGCTTAGCGATCAATACAGGACACAGTTGTAACTCAGGGAGGGGATGTTATCAGCAGCCTTTTAGGGTAAATACTAGATTTCATTTTAGATTCTATCTTTTTGGTGCAGTTCTATTTCCATTTGAACATCAACCTTTCTGATAGATTATACATGAATATGAGCCTGACTTACTGTTGCATTAATAAGCCCACACTTGTTTGTTAAAATTACATTACCACGATATATACAAACTTTACATATTTTGTATGCATGAAATTTTTAGCATTGTAAACCTGTTTTGACAGAATCCAGAACTTGTGTAAACCAGACTTGATTGGAAAGTATAACTTTCTATGTAAATTAAATGTCTTAATTATGTTGGTAGAGTATTCTGTTTTTCTGTGATGATGTTGCAAGAATTGTGATGTGGTGATGTCACAAATATTGTGGTCTGATGATGTCACTAGTATTGTGGTCTGATGATGTCACTAGTATTTTGGTGTGGTGATGCCTAATTGCCAAGCTTCATGTCCTTGGAATGATTGAGTATTTACCTACTGTAACTGTGTCTTTTGCTGCATTATATACAGTTTTGTTTGAAAATTTTGCATAGGATTATTACGGATTGCTCATGGTTATCTGCCTTACTTCCTTAATGATGCATCGTCTCTGTGTATAAATGTATATAGCAACTGTTGAGTAGATAAACAGTAGTCCTATAATACATTCTTATTTCAACAGGATGAAAATGGACCTGTGTTAGTCTAGCTGTGCTTTTCTGAGATGCTAATGTTTTGGTTTTCACAGATGGAGTCACATGATAATATCTAACATTCCATTAAAGTAATTACTCCAGTTCTACAGCAACTCTGGGCACCTGTCACAGGGTGACCTACTCCGCTAATGTATACCTACATGTCGTGCCAAATTGTCTCACTTTCTGTATGTCAGGGGAGAGTCCTGGCTAGAATTACACATATCACACGTCACTGTACATATGACAGGGTCTCTAAGTGTGTCTAAACAGACCGCACTTGTATAAATGGCACCTGTTAATTAAGAACATTGTATATATTGACCACCTGTCCATTCAGATGACGGTCTATGAAGAGACAGCTAACCACTTGTCAGTTGATACTACTGTTGGTTGACTAAATGTCACGATGCTTAATGTCGCAATGCTTAATGTCACAATGCTTAATGTCACATTCTGGTTAATATCATGACCTTTTTTTGTTAATTGTGATAAAGTTTGTTTGACTTCATGTGATGTGATATCCACTCCTTTTAATATCATGTTTATTGCCTGTGACATTATTCAACATATACATGACATGTAAAAATTAATTGAACAGACTAAAACTTTGAAACAGACTATACACAGGACACCTGTGTGTACTAGTGTATAATAGGTGAATGTAATAATTGATAAAATGCAGGTAGATTAATGTCAAAAATGGGTAAATTAATTAAAAAAAGAGACGATAGTTTTTTTCATTTACATTTTCAGTCCAATAGCTCTTCATGTGCATAGGTACAATATTCTGTGACTTAAATATTTTATATTGTAACAGTAATAAAATTATTCTAAAGAAAAAAAATATATAAAAAATCACTAATTGACAATTCATCTGTTAGAAGTCTCATTTCTTTAAGTGGATTCTTCAGCCTGTTTTATTTAAGAAACTTATGATGTCATAATCTATTGCAGTCAGTTTTTATGAATTGTCTTAAAAAATGACATCACAATATTTATCTTTGAACAAATAAGACAATCTAAAAATTTCCTTGAAGATATGAGAGTGTGAAAGGTGAGTTGTTGAGTAATTATTTATTTTAATTATATATGTGTGTAACTTTATTTACTATCTATATATAGATATAGATCCACATAGATGTCTAT